CAGCATAATTTTCAAATAGGATTAGGATTTGATACTGCTAGATGTAGTTATTGTAATTGGTTTCCAGCTAAAGATAAGAGAGCTCAGTGTTTATTATGCAGTATAACCTATTGTGTAATCTGTCTAGAAAAATTAAACATGACACACAAGATAACATTAGGAAATAATAACGAAATGCTAGAAGATCGTAGTATAGAATGCAGAGAATTACATCTAGCAATTAGAGAATTAGAAATACAGGTAAGAGAACTTAAGTTACAAATATAAGAGATAGAAACTAAAGCTAATTTTGACATAGAATGTTTAGAAGTAGAAAATAGACAGCTTAAACAGCAGTTAGAACAATTTCATATTAAGTACCCCTTGAAAGATAAACTTGTTGAAGAACATATGAATTCTTTAGAATTAGTCAACCTAGTTGATTCTCAACCCATTAGTCAATACTTCTAAACACAGTCAGAAAATGCATACTTACCATTCAATTATCCTGTCATACCCTAGCCAAATCTAGTTGAGATCTCTTGTATAATTAAATTTGCAGAAAAAACCCTTAGTATAGATACCATGATAGATACAGGAGCCAGTAAATCATATACTGAACAACACGTAGTTCCACTAGGATGGAGCACAGCTTTAACAACCCCAGCTTTAGTCAATATAGCCGATGGAACTAAACAGACATATACATATTGCATCAATGGAGCACAGATTAGTTTTCATCACATAAGTTCTCGAACTAAACATATATAATGGTTCCCTTTACCTCAAGTTTGGATTGGAAATATGCGACAAAATCATCCTTTCATCTTAGGACTTAACTTCATACTTAGTCTACAAGGCGGCATGTTTTTCAACCAAAACAACATCAGTTTCTTCAAACGTGCGAAGTGTGGTGGTACAATAGGAGTAGATTCTATTCCCGCTAGTTTTTTATTTCCTAGTAGAAATATTTTTCCCGAGCTAGCCCAAAAGTATATACCTGATGAAATAACAAATACTTCTTTAGAAAATTTAAACATAGAAAATTATGAATTAGAGGATTTAGAAGAATTTGATTTTGAAGAAAAAAGAGACTATTGGAACCTAGAAGATTTTCAACAGATTGTTAACCTAGAGTTAATTTTTGCAAAAATAGGAAAATTAAAGAAAAAAACTTGAATACAGAAGAGTAGAAAATGATTGAGATGAAATAATAAGATTAACTGAAACAACAGAAATTTTAGGTGAACAACCCATGAAATATTGGGAAAGAAATGAAGTTGTAGTCAGTTAGATATAAAAAATAAAGATTATAGGATTACATCAGCATAAATAGTTCATACGCCAGCAGACATAGAAGAGTTTAGGACACAGATTAAGAAATTATTAGATTTATGAGTAATTAGACCCAGTAATAGCCCACATAGGAGTGCCACATTTATGGTTAGAAATCATGTAGAGATAAAAAGAGGAAAAGCTAGAATGGTTATAAATTATAAAAGATTAAATGACAATACAGAGATGAAAAATATAATATACCAGATAAAGATCAGCTTATAAACTGAATACAGACAACAAAAATATTTAGTAAATTTGATTGCAAATCGGGATTTTGACAGATAAAAATGGAGAAGGAAAGCATACCTTAGACAACCTTTTGCTGTCCACAAGGACATTATGAGTGGCTTGTTATGCCTTTTAGACTAAAAAATGCACCTTCCATATTTTAGCGTAAGATGGATAGCATATTTTATAAATATAGTTTTATATTGGTATATATAAATGACATATTAGTGTTTAGCCCAGATAAGAATAGTCACATAGATCATTTATATATAGTATTAGAAGAATTCATAAATAATGGAATAATAATTAGTAAGAGAAAAATGGTACTAAATAAACCTTATATAGAATTTTTAGAAATGGAGTTAGGAGATGGAAAAATCCGGCTACAACCTTACATAGTTAAGAAAATTTTAGATTATCTAGATAAATTAGAAGATACAAAACAACTTCAATCATCTTTAGGAATTTTAAATTATGCACGAATGTACATCTTTAACCTTAGTAAAATAATAGGACCCCTATATAGTAAAACCACACCTACAGGGCAAAAATATTTCAATCAACAAGATATAGCTCTAGTTAGAAAAATTAAAGACATTTGTAGAAATCTACCCGGCCTAAAACTTCCCCTAGAATCAGAATATATAGTCGTAGAAACGGATGCAAGTCAGTTAGGATGGGGAACGGTATTATTAGCTAAACTTAGCAAGTATGATAGTAAAAATAAAGAACGCATTTGTAGATATAGTTCTGGAAAGTTTAAAGAAAAAGACACAATCATGACTAGTCTAGATTTTGAGATATTAGGAATAGTATATGCGATAAACAAATTTAGATCATTCTTACATAATCCCTTTACAATTAGAACAGACTGCAAAGCTATAGTTAGATTTCATAATAAACTTAATCAGCGTAAACTAAGTACCAGAAGATGGGCAAAATTTTTAGATTGTATAGTAGGACAATGATATAAAGTAGAATTTGAACATATTAAAGGGAGTGATAATAGATTAACAGATTGGCTAAGTAGGAAGATTTATTTAGAAAAAAAATAACTAGTTTAATTTTTGTGCAGATAATGGGGAACAACAAAACCATGAACTTTAGGGGATTTACCTTTCCCATTCATGAAGGCAGAAACAAATTCAAGCCATTAACATGAATTGAGCTAGACCCAGTTTAACAGTGTCTTCTAGATAACCTTTGGAACAACCATAACCACCCAGCTAAACATCTATCAGCCTTAAACTCTCTTAGTATATATTTTTCAAAAATTAAGAATAAACCTTTGTCTAAAAGTTTTTTTTTTTTTTTAATGTAGTAGTTAAAGGAACCAAGCCTGGTATTTACCATGATTGGATAGAAGTTGAACCCTTAGTTAAAAATTTTCCAGTACCTCAGTTTAAAGGATTCTATGATTTCGAGTCAGCTAGTACATATGCCCGTAGACAAATAGGAACCAGTTACTTTATCAGTCAGGTAGCTAAAGATTATCTAGACACATTAAACAAGATGCAGTCGACCACTATTGCTAATAGTGGAGTTCCAATTAGCCAGATAATTAGGAGCAGTAGTACTAACCCTCAAACAGATTCTCAAAATCCTCTCCAAATGTGCAGACATTATGAAGGCCTTACCAGAAATTTCAAGAAAATTATGTATAAAGGCAAAAAGGTCAGTGAAGAGCTAGACCAGCTCCGAAACGAAGAAAAACAATTGAGAGCCACCATTTGAACCCTAACCAATTAGCTTAAAAAATTAACTCCAAAAAAAGCACCCACTCCATTTATTGACCAAGAAACCAGACAACTCACCACTAAGGAATTTGAACAATTGAGTGTTAGAATGTATTTCTTCAGGTATTCTATCATTCGATCTTTTTGTGAGAAAAGCCAAGAAATAGAGGACCTTAAACCCTATATATACACCTTAGCTGAAAATAACAGAAATAGTGAGCTAGTCACTATATAGAAGTTTCTTCAGGATCTCTCCATAGCAAGAGTTCACTGCCCTGGTATAGCCTATCAATAGACTTATCTCTACAAAGATGAAGAGCAGCCCTGCTTAGAGGAGGAAAGATGTATGGATAGGCCAGAATATTTTGGTCGATGTAAGTGTAATTTAGATTTTAGCATCTGCCTTTCCAGATAAATCTAGCAACGTTCGAGCCATTGGAGATAGAAATTAGGGGCAAACCGCGTTATCTAATAGCCTCACAATTGTTAGATTACGGCTTTGTCTCTAGAATAATTTTCTCAGATCCAGATCAGACAGATAACTTTGGAAATAAACTTGCTCATTCAGTACTTTGTGTAATGGAAGAACATCATTCATATTTAGAAGTATTAATTGATAGCAGGCTACCAGAGTGGAAAGGAATAAGGTGCATTCCAACTAAACATAAAATGTACCTTAGAGGAACCTCAACATTTCTAGGGTACCCAGGACTTCTCAATCGGAGACCCTGGCCATGCAGAAAATTTTTACTTAGAGATCAGCTCAATAAATGGAGGAAATTCGCTAACAATCCTCTATTGTCGTATAATGGAAATTATGGACATCTAGTTTGTGAAGATAGAAATCAGAAGATATACTGTAACCTAACTATCCCAGGATATCCCTTAAGCAAAGAAACATTCGTCGATGAAAGTCAGTATCCCAACTATCAGCATAGCGTCTCTCATGAGTCACCACTAATGGGAGAAGATGATCAAGATAACCAATGGGAAAATGAACCAGTCACATGGAATGATTTTTACGACCAACTTTCAGTGGCAGATCTGGACTATATAGAATTTATGGGTAAAAAAAAATAAAAAAATAAAAAAAATCTTATTATGAATTATATATATAATTTTTTTAGTAAATAACTGTATATATAATAAATTTTAGTATATATAATAAATTTTAGGGTGCTGTTATGGTGTGCAACCCTATGCAACCAACATAAAAAGTGTAAGTGGAAGGTGTAAACATAAAACAGAACAGCAAACAGAAAGACGTCAGTGTAAAGTATAAGTTGCACACTTAAGAAAAGTGCTAAATTTTATAATATAAACAATTTAGATTACGCTGGCTCACAGCACGTGCCTCCCCAGGTTGTGTCTCTCTCCTTTACTCTAGGCTCTTTCCTGTGTTTTTTGAGTGGAGATCCCGCAAGTCTACAGAATCTTGATAGACTTTTTTTTGGTTTTTTTTGTTTTGTTTTGGTGGTGGAGAGAGAGAGAATGGTCAAGTCATACGCATTAATATATTATAGACTTCTCCACATACAACTATCAAGGGAGCAAGTATCCTCTAGAGTGATTTTTTTCTAAAGTTTCCTAGAGTGTTATATTGTGTGGTTAAAATTTATTGACAAGTCACATCAATTTTTCTGATATGATTTGCCAATAAATCTCAACCACACAATGCAGTACAAATTTTAAGAAAATTTCATCCTTGGTGCTATCAAGGAGTCGATCATGGTCTTGTATCCCTGTCTGTATTATCAGAAAAAAGAAGAAGAAGAAGAAGAAGAATGGTGTCGTCGGAGACGATTGATCTGTTGAAGGAAGAGCTTCCGGTGGAGCAGGAATCTCTGGTTGTGTCCGGAGACGTCAAGACCGGTCTGGTTATCGTCGACGTCGTCAATGGCTTCTGTACCGTCGGAGCTGGCAATTTGGTACTTTCTCTTCCTCATTTGTTTTCTGATTTACCCTCTGTTTGTTTGCTGAAAAACCAAGGAAGATTTATAAAAGAAACATATACTTACTTCTTATCTTTCTTTTTTTTTCCAATGATGAAAACATCGATATGAACTAGCCCAACAGTTTCTAGACTAGAGGTTTTTTTTTTTTTTTTTGTGGTGCAAAACCGAAATTCTAGAATTTCTACAACTTGAGATCCGAAAAGACTGAAATTTGAAACATAGATTTGAAAGCAGTTAATCAGATTTTATTTTGCGCTCTAAATAATCTCCTTTACTTATTAATATATATTATATGCTGCATAATCTAATTTTGGTTTGAGTATTAATAGTTTTAGTAACATATTATTATTGTTACCCTCCCTCCCTCCCCCCTTCTTTTTGTTGTTTTTACATGGCCATTGAATTGTTAAGATTCTCTCCACTAAAAATGTTGAAAATGTTTTATATATGGAAATAGTGGTGCTGACCACTTTATTTGTGTTGAATTGTTTTCTCTGCAGGCTCCAACGATGCCTGACAAACAAATTTCTGGAATGGTCGATGAGACATTGAGGCTTGCCACAGTGTTTTGTGATAATAAATGGCCTGTTTTTGCTTTTCTAGATTCTCATCACCCTGATATCCCTGAGCATCCCTATCCTGCTCACTGTATTGCAGGAACAGATGAATCAAAATTGGTTCCTGGTATTTTCGTCTCCTCTATCCGGCTTGCTCTCTACTTAGTTCCTATATATATATATATATTAATTTAGCACTGAATTACTACTAGTGACTTGAGAAGCGTGAATAATGTGCTCTCCTTTCTTGATTTCTTTGTATTATGTTTAGCTCTGCAGTGGTTGGAAAATGAACCAAATGTAACTCGTAGATGCAAGGATTGCATTGACGGGTTTCTCGGTTCTATTGAGAAAGATGGTTCTAATGTGTTCGTAGATTGGGTGAAAACCAACCAGATCAAAGTTGTAAGTATTTCTATTTCCCACAAAGTGACCATTCATTTATAATGTTTCATTGTTAAATTGACATCTCCGTGGGAATTAATTTGAGTTCTGTTGCTTTACATGATAGTGAGAGTGCATGTGTAATTTGACTCATATTTTCTTTCTGAAGATATTGGTTGTAGGGATATGCACGGACATCTGCGTCCTAGATTTTGTCTGTTCTGCTCTCTCTGCGAGGAATCGTGGTTTTCTCACCCCTCTGGAGGATGTGATTGTGTACTCCCATGCCTGTGCTACTTTTGATCTTCCAGCTCATGTTGCCAGAAACATCAAAGGCATTGCTCATCCACAGGTAAACTTAGAGATAAAATGTTGGAACATACGTTTTTTTGTTGTCGCTGATCTTGTTGGGATGTTAAAACTAGGAGTTAAGTTAAATGACAGAATCATAATGGGATGGTTTTGGCAGGAAGCATAAGAGTCTCATATCGAGGATTTTGGAAAGTTAGGATGTGCAGAATTTAACAAATTGAACTAGGCATGAGATAATAAAACAAAAAAGAAATGGCAAGGTTCAAATGAGTAATTAGTCTTGTCAAAGATGTCTTGTTCATTTGAGCCTTCCTTGAAAGCCTCACTTGATTCATGTTGGATGCTTAGTTGTAGGAATAGCTAATAGGGTGACATTTTCGTTCGAGAACAGCATTGCGGTTCAGAGCAAGAATCTTGTTCAGTCGAGATAGAATCATGCTTCCTACTAGATAACAAATATTTATCATAGATTTTGAATTTCCTATATAGAATTAAAGAAATGTAATTTTTTGATAGATCTTTCAGTTGAAGATGTGTCCTATTGGTTTGCTACCTTATTGAGAACTGACTGTCCTTATATTTTAATAGGTTAAGTGATAGTGTAATGTGGACATTATATGTTACAACCAAGCAACAATTTTTTTGTACAATGTATTTATATATAAAATACATAAACACTCTCTTAGGCACTCCCAACCTTTGACTCATTTATATATCAAGTGAATGTTTGTCCTTCTGTGGTGAATGTAGGAGAAACCTCATCATAGGCAGACTAAACCTGCATTCCATTTGAAGAGACTTTATGTTGGTTCCTTTCCTTGAAACATAAAAGGTGAATAAAACTATTACGAGTCTATGCTTGGCATGGTATTATTATGCAAAGTTGATTAATAAAATTGGGAGTTTAAAGGTTGTGGCTTTGTGTGATTACGTTGTGTGTGGCCATTGCGTTTTTCATCTCCCCTTTCTCCCTCTTTGTCCTGCATCAATTTGGTATCAAAGCCTAATATCGATCAACCCACTTGTTCACTCTCTGCTTTTCTGAGCCGTCTCCATCGCTATCATCGTACCAAAGTTCCTCACCATTGAATAGTGTGACCGTAGTAATTTCTATGCTGACGCTGTTATGTGCCATTGTCGCCATCGCACTGAAACCAGCCCCATTGCTGCCAAAATCAAGCACTCTCTATCGCTTTTGCTTTCAGCAAAGTCATAAACAACTATTGTTGTTCCTTGTTTGTTTAGCTTTGTCAAAGTTGCTCACTGCGGAAGACATGCAGTGACTGTAATTGTGAAGATCGAAGGTGACACTGTCTTAAAGGGTTATATTAACCCTTAACCCGGTCCACCAAGGTTGACCCAAAAATCCAACCAAAACATATAGCCCTAGACCCAACCAACTTTATAACCCTTACTCAACCAATAATAAACCCATGACCCAATTCGGCCTCTATCCAATTTAACTGACTTAGCCTATTTAAGCCACACAATCTAACTCATTTTTAAGCCCAAACAACCATATAACCTTACCCAATATAGCTTCCTTAAGCCCATTAATTTTAACATGAAACAATCTCAAATTTCTATAATTTAATCTAGGAACCAGTGACCCAATTTCAGCTTAGTTCTTTACAAAACCTCTTTTCCATATTTTTTTTCTTCATTATGGTAACCAATTCAGAGTTTTAATCAAAGTTTGAAGCCATTTTTGAAGACCAACTAGAGATAAGGAAATGTCATGTCGATTGTCATAACAAATGAATCAAATTATTGGCTCACTTTTCAAGAGTTCCTCAAAGGGGTTGTGGTGAGGATCAAACAAGAACTGTTGATTAAGAGGTCCAAAGCACATGAATGGTGATGTGGACTTGATGGAAAATTCGGAAGGTATTGAAGTCCAAGAAGTCATAATTGAAAGACAAGTACATCCCACACATATAATGATTTTATCAAAGAAGAGCTTTTTATTGACCCCACATCGACTGATCCATTGATAAAGGTAGACATGATTGATTTTATTGGTGTTGGAGATTTTCTGTGCGTGTTCAATCTATGTTTGTGGGCCTGGTCAACTACTTAGGAACCAAGATTAGTAGGATTCGGAAGAGAAAAAAACAGATAGGATATGCTAAGTATTTGATTTGTTGATATGGATGAGTTCAAAATTTAAAAACGAACTCGAGGTCGAATTATTTTTCTCCACTGGGGAGAATGATGCAGAATATAGAGTTCAATATTCATATGCATGTGCGCAACAAATTTGTTATGTTTTTAGGGTTATTAGCTGATACAGAAGAATGGTCAGTATGGTGTTATACAGATTGATTTATAGAATTGAGAGTTTAAAAGTTGTGGTTTTGTGTGATTGGGGTTGGTGCACTTGTGTTCTTTCCCTCTCTCTTTCTTCCTTTCCGTCGTCATCATCTATATTTTAATATGTATAATTTTAATTATTTGGGAAGGTAAAGGGTTAAAAAGAAGTACACGTATGGATACGAACATGAACACAAACTCGAAAACGGAGTTGTGGAAATTTTCAAAGCGCCAAACACAACAGGGTTACATAAAAAATTTATATTTTGTTTATTTATATTTGCTATGTTTATGAATATTCTATCAACAAACAATAAAAAATAATGGAAACTAATTAATTTAACATGAAAAATCACTCAATCTATAATTTAAACATCATTCAAGATACAAAATACTATTTTGTCAATCCCAACCACCACATGTCAAAAGCATTTAATTTTATAATGAATAGATCCTCCATCAAAAATAAATAATCACAAGTCGAACATATCCTAGGGCATATCTAGAGCTAGGACACGTGTGTTCGTGATGTGTTCCTAACGTGTCTAATAAAGAAAAAATTGTGAAATAAACAAGCCATGTGGTGTATTGGACGTGTTATACGGCTAAGTGAAAACTTCAAAAAAATTGCAAACCAGTTTGATTTAGACCAAACCGTACTGTTTGGTTTGGTTTGGTTTGCTCAAGGGTTTGTCCTGGTTCTTAAAATAGGTGAACCGTACTTCATGGTTTGGTCTGTGATTTTATAGTCATTGTTCTGGTTTGGAATCGAAACTGACCGTTTAGGTATATATAATTTATTATGTATAGTAGACACACATGTATCTTATTTGTATCCTATATATATTCATAAATATTTAACTCTTTGCTTACAAGTGTATACTTGTATAATAGTAGAACTAGTTCTGAACAATCATTTAAAGAATTTTGTTTATAAAATGGTGATATATTACTTGATTTTTGAGCAAGTTGTGATTGTATTGTGAATGATGACAAAATTCATGAAAATTGTGGTTTCAAACCGAACCAAACCGTGTTTTCATGGTTCGGTTTGGTTCCAAATTTTATGGAACCGTAGGTGGTGGTTTGGTCTTATTTTATTTCAAAACCGAACCATACTCATCCCTAACGTGTTAGACGTGGCTACGATGAACTGTCCATGTTTCATGGGTAGAGGCTTTTGAGAAAATCCTGCGGTCATCTGTAAATTCTCATACAAACCAAGTTGTCTCATTGAAAACTTGTATTTAAAATGTATTGGCTGTTGTAACTTTTGCTGCTCATTTCAATAATTTGATAGTTACTTACATGAGATTCCCAAGGTTTGGTCTCTTAACTATTAAGTGGACAAATGATAATTACATAATGGTGTTGCAACTACACCTAAAAGTCATTGTGATTCATTGATTGTACTTTAATATAGGAATGGTTCTATTTTTTCATTTATTTATTTATATTTTATTTTATTTTATTTTTTTTAACAGCAAGAAAACAATTTTATTGAAACAAAGATGACAACAAAGGGAGGACAAGAAGTCCTCGTACAAAGTCAGAAGATACAAAGATAAAGACCAAAGAAACAAGAGCTACAACACACCACAACCAGCACTACGCATAACAAACAACAGCCCAATCCCTAGAAATAAAAAACAAGGGTATATCCTTGAAAGGAGGAGACACACAAGCCCAAACTGATGCCATGCACCCTATCCCACAAAGCTTCCTCCGTTGCTTCCTTCTTATTAAAGATCCTGTCATTTCTTTCCAACCAAATGATCCAAAAGATCACACAAACAATGCAAGATCACAATGTTTTGGCCTTCTTATTTTTCCCAAACCCTCCAAAGAAAACTAGTATCATGTGCATGCACTCCTGTGGAGCAACCCACTAAACATCACACAGACCAAAGAGTTGCTGCAGTGTAAAGGCCACGGGACCATGTTGAAATAGGTGATCCGCTAATTCCACATCCTTCTTACACATTACACACCATTGATGACCAAGAGAGTGATTGGGCCAGTGTTTTAAAAAGCTCTAGGCGCATTGGGGCATCAAGGTCACCTGGAGTCTAAGCGCCGAGGCGCGTGCCTCACCAAAGCGAGACGCAAGTTATAGAAGTTAAGCAAAATATCAATATAACACAATATATAGCACAATTTTCAACATAAGCAAATATTTATAGAATTCCAAAATGAACAAAACAATATTCAGCATTTCAAAAACCATGAAAGTAACATCAAACAACAAACATAAGAACTTAATAATCCACAAAGTTGAAAACAACTAAACATCTAGTGACTAGTCCCATGGATGCATTGTCCTAAGAACTTAATAATAAGCGTCATCTCCTTCATCATCATTGGATTTATATTCCTCCACATCCTCCTCTTCTTCCTCATCTGAATATACATCTTTCCATTCCTCTTCTTCATCTACAAGTCGACGTGAGCTTGAACCAATTGGAGTTGTCCTAGTTGTGGTTGATCTAGTTCTTTGGCTACTTTCCTCAACTCCAGCAGCTACAGCAACATCATCCCACCCCAAAGAATCATCATCATCATCAAACATAAGCTCATTCTCCATCCTTCCAATCAGCCATTCATTGCTTTCATCAATATCTTTCAAAGAGATGGGATCAAATTTGACACGTGAATGTATTGACGTTTCAATGCTCTATTATGCTTGACAAACACCAAATCATTGAGACGTTTTTGAGCTAGCCTATTTCCTTTTTTGCTGTGAAGCTGTAACAATAAATGAAAAAAAACATTTAAATTCATATATAACTAAAAAAAATTTGGAAGAAAATTTTAGAGTTCCCCAAATTTCACAACGGATATTCACATGTTCAAACACACTCCAATTCCGCTCACAACCAGATGAACTACAAGTAAGACTAAGAACTTTGATGGCAAATTGTTGCAACATAAGAACTTAATAATCCACAAAGTTGAAAACAACTAAACATCTAGTGACTAGTCCCATGGATGCATTGTCCTAAGAACTTAATAATAAGCGTCATCTCCATCATCTCCTTCATCATCATTGGATTTATATTCCTCCACATCCTCCTCTTCTTCCTCATCTGAATATACATCTTTCCATTCCTCTTCCTCATCTACAAGTTGACGTGAGCTTGAACCAATTGGAGTTGTCCTAGTTGTGGTTGATCTAGTTCTTTGGCTACTTTCCTCAACTCCAGCAGCTACAGCAACATCATCCCACCCCAAAGAATCATCATCATCATCAA